GAGAATTCCCAGGCACCCCACCCCCACCAACACTGATCATAACTAGATTCACCTACCAATTCCGACCTCCAGTTGTTTCCACATTATCATTCATTTGTCCACTCAGGAAATAAAGGAAGCTACTTTCACCAACCCTCCCTCATGACTCCTGATAGATAATACAGCAGGGGGCGGGGGGGGGGGGAGCCTCTCTGCAAAGTAATTTACATAAAAGTTATAAAAGCTCTTTGTTATCTGTCATGACTAGGAAATGGGCTATTCTAGCAAATCAAACATCCTGGATAACATAATGATGGTTTTAAAGGGACAACCATTTATAAAGAATTTCAAAGCAATGCAACAGTGGCTCCCAAACCTGGATGCTGATCAGAATCACTTGGGGAGCTCTTTGGAAATAGAGGCCAGAGTGGTTTTTTTTTTTTTTTTTTTTTTTTTAATGTAGATTCTTGGTCATCGCTTATCCACTCAATCAAATCTCCAGGAGGTGGGGCTGAGAAATCTACTTTTAAAGAACCCCTTAGTGACTCAGCTTCGAACTGCAGCTTTCAAGGAACGGCTGGCTGGCTGGCTGGCTGGCTTTTGGGAACTCCTTGCAATAAAACACTAAAAAGGCTAAAAACTGCACTGAATACAATGAGACCTTCTTTTGCTGATTCATTAAGACTTTAGGATCTCCCAACAGCTCTGGTTCCTCATTCAGTATTGGTCACTAGTCACAGTACTGGAGAAACCAGAAAGGAAAGGTTAAGATTTCACATTGGTACAAAGCTGGAAAAACCAGATTTGGTTTTTCTAACAGATTTTAAAAGCTGGTTTCCCCCAGAGGATACATAACTTTTATGCTTGCTTTAAAAACAAAAATGTTTAAAATCAGGCAATAGGATTCTGTTTAGCTACAATTCAGAACGTTAACAGGCCTAAATGCATCAAAAATGTGCAACATTCAACCTGCAGAAGCAAGGAAACTTCATGACCATCTTAATTAAGAGAAAGGAAGATAATGGGTTTAAACTAAGAATGGCAAAAAATAAAAATAAAATAAACTAAGAATGGCATTATAGGATTAGATAAAACCACTGTCTTGACCATGCAACTGATAAATCCTGGAAACTGGGAGAGCTGAGGCCTGTGATTCCTTCCTATCTGGGATAGCTTTCATGTGAAATGAAACAGAATAACCTATTAAAAGTCCTATTAAAGCTCTTAATATAAAACCATAATACAAGAAAATGACCAAATCATTTCCCTATTGAAGGAAGAGGGTGGAGTTATGTTTGTATATAAAAAGATTGTCCTTGTGTGTCAACTAACTTCAGTTAAAAAAAAAAAAGCAGACAAAAAAAAGCAATAAAAAATAAAGACAGTCCTTAAAAATGCTAAAATCTTTCTTACATAAACACAAATAACCAAGGGCACCTGGATGGCTCAGTGGTTGAGTGTCGGCCTACTGTTAGGCTAGGTCCTGAGATCAAGTCCTGCATTGGGCTCCCTGCAGGGAGCCTGCTTCTCCCTCTGCCTATGTCTCTGCCTTTCTATGTCTCTCACGAATAAATAAACTTTTTTTTAAGATTTTATTTATTTATTCATGAGACACACACACACACAGAGAGAGAGAGAGAGAGAGAGAGAGAGAGAGAGGTAGAGACACAGGCAGAGGGAGAAGCAGGCTCCATGCAGGGAGCCCGATGTGGGACTCGACTCCAGGTCTCCAGGATCACACCCTGGGCTGAAGGCAGGCGCTAAACTGCTGAGCCACCGGGGCTGCCCAATAAATAAACTCTTAAAAAAAAAAAAAAAAAAAAAAACACATGCAACCATAACCAATAACCAAACAAAAACAATAACTAGTAACCATTACCAAACAATAACAAGGAAGAAGCTAGTCCCTGAAGACTTCACCAATAGCTAGCGATTTAAACTCTGTATTCTCATTAAACTCTAAATTACTACTTAGCTCTGTATTGCAGGGGTGATGAGATTCTAAGGTGCAGAGACTAAAACTTTCATTCCCAAACAAAAAACATTATGGCCAGTACAAATTTGATAGAAATGTCTCTTATCTACCATTAAAACAATAGCAGTATTAGAAAAACAACAGCAGTATTAAAGGTTCTATTATAAGAATAAAAAAATCCGGGTGGGATTAGGCTCCCTAACACTCCTTAAGTTTCTGTAGGTGTTTTCTGAAAGTCCTAGGCACAATACTTACAGATGGGTGTGGCTATATTAAACATCACAGGGAACATATTAGGGAAGAAACTGTGTCTTTTTGTTATTTTTGCCTTCTTAAATGCTGGTAATTGAAAATGCTTTTTCCATGTTTTTTTCTTAAGAGGCCTTAAAGATGTATTCCTATTAGATGGTGCTAAGCAGTTAGTTGTGTCAACCTACCCGGCCGTAAGAAAGATTAAAAACAACTTAATTTACCTAATCTGAAACAGCTTTTTCTCTGCATATTATTTTAGCAGTTGGTTAAATGAAGTCAATATAGAGGATTTAAAACACTCGATCCCAGAGGACCCCTGGGTGGCTGAGCGGTTTAGCGCCTGCTTTTGGCCCAGGGTGTGATCCTGGAGACCCGGGATCGAGTCCCACGTCGGGCTCCCTGCATGGAGCCTGCTTCTCCCTCTGCCTGTCTGTGCCTCTATGTGTCTCTCATAAATAAATAAAATCTTAAAAAAAAAAAAAAAAAACACTTGATCCCAATATAAACAATCAGAATAACAGCTGTCTACCTGACAAATCTGGAAGTTTTTTTAGTGGGCTGATCCTCATAACTAGATCTAGACATTAAATATGTGTCCTACATTACATGGAAACTTTCTTTAAGCACAACTAAGGTATTACATAGCCCTCCCTGCCACATGAATCTGCAGTTATACACAACTTCCAAACAGAAGAAAATGACCCCTCTAAACCGCCGGCTATGAACTGTACTCTCAAGTCCAGAATTATTAGGAAATACGCCATAACGTTTCAGAAATACTTGCCACATTGATTTTCCTTGAACATGAAAGAGAGCAAGCAATCAGGGAAAAAAAAAAAAAAAAAAAAAAGGATAAAGAAGTTGTCAAACCTGAAATCCCCTGAAGAGAAAGGAAGTAACACTACAGCTCCCAGCCCTGGAACTCTGGATTGAGAACTGGGCAAAGCCCCGTGTTCCCTTGCCTATTCCCATCCCTGGAAAAATGGCTCGATAAGGGGACGGCTCTGGCCACGCTTCGGTCACCTGGCCTGTCACCGGGAAAATCCCAAGGCTCCCCAGACAGCGCCAGCCCCGAGAGAGATGGGAAGTCTTCCCCGACCTCCAAACGACCAGCACAAGGGATGAATAAGGGCCGTGCTCTTTCCTGGAAGGCCACACGCACCTGCGGACGGCTGCTCACTAGGTCGCCGCGGCCTTCCGCCACGGCGCAAAGCGGCGGTCGGGGGTAAAGCCCTACTTCCCAGCAACTCTTCCCGGCCGTAGACGGACTGGGAGGAGCTTGAGACACTCCACCGCGATCACACAAGCAGCTCTCTCCCACTAGAACGAGTGACAGACCAACAAAAAGGAGAAATCACGCTGCCGTTCCTGTGTCCTGCCAGCAGAACTCGAGCTCCGAGCGGCGCCCTAGGCCTGGCCAAGGCCCGGGGCAGCCGCGGCGGAGAGGCCCCACCTGCCTTCTCCGCCGGGCCCCCGGCGACCTCGCACACCCCCTCGAACCCACCGAGGGCGAAGCCCCAACGAGGGAAGAGCGGGCGGAGGGCCCGCACCACACTCTCAAACTCCTCCCCGAGCGGCCCCGGGGGCTCCGGCGAGGGAGCAGGGGCGAGCGCGTCCCTCTACAGGCCTGACTCAGTTTCCTCGGCCGCACAGAGGCGTCCGGCCCCGAGGCCAACTGACCCGGCCGGTCTGCAGGGCGCCCGGGACCCTCCCTCAGGTGAAATGCCTCCCTCGAAGGGCTTTCAATGGGACAGGTGCGAGCCGCCCCGGGTGCGGAGACGCCCGGCGAGGCAGGCAGTCCCGGGCCGCGCCCCGCACGCAGGAGGCGCCTCCAGACGCGGCCCCGCGACCCCCGAGGCCCAGCGGCGACCCCGCCGCGGCCTCCCCCGGGACCCCACCCAGGCCGGGCCCCGCGGCCCCGGCGCCGCCGCCTCCTCACCTGCCGCGCCGCCCGCCGGGTCCGCACCTGGGAGGGGAGGGGCCGGATCCGGGCCGCGGACGCCTCAGGCAGGGGGGCTCCGGGCTCCGCCGCCGCCGCGTCTCGGGGGCTGAGGGGCACTGGGGGGCGGCCGCGACATCCTCCCGCGCGGCCCCAGGAAGTCGGCCCCCCCACCCCCCCCCACCCCACCCCCAGCGGCCCAGCCCGGCCGCGCCCGCCCCCTGCGGCCCCGCCCCCCGCGGCCCCGCCCCCCCCGCGGCCCCGCCCCCTCGGGAGCGCGCGGCCGCTGCCGCCGGGCCCGAGCCACCATAGAGAGCGGCGAGGCGCGCGCCGGGCTAGAGCGTGTCCCGCGCGCGCGCGCGCGCGCGCCCCCTGGCGGAGCTGAGGCCGCCGGAGGCCCGGCCGGCCGAGATTGGACCAGAGCCCTGCGGGGCGGCGACCGAGCCGTCGGTTGCCCTGTGTCAGGGCGTCCTCTCCTCCTCCTTGCCTTGGTCTCCGGACTCTGCGCGAGAAGCTGGAGTCCAGGTCCGGGGCTCAGCTAGCTGGAGGTCCAGCTTGGTGACCTTGGGCCAGTCCCTTCACATCCCTGAACTCGTCTCGTCGCAAGAGTTTGCGAGTTGCCTCACCCCTGTCTCCCTGTTCTGACAATGCTGTAAGCAGGTGATGGTTGCCCAGACCTCGATGGAGGAAACCCAGGCCCGCCAGGGTTCACTAGCTTATTCAAGGTCTCGTAGCTGGAAGGCATTAGAAGCCAGGTGTGTAAGACCTCAAAACCCATGCCTGTCCCACTCACTTGCTGGCACCGCCCTCGTCTAGCATTTCCCGGTCTGAACCCCCAGGGCTAGCTACGTTTACCTTAGGAGAGTGAGGAAACTGCTCCAAGGAAGGCCTCGGCAGGAGAATGTGCTCAGGAGCCCACCCCGGGCCGTCATCAGCTGCGTACCTTTCAGCAGGTACTTAACGCCTCTGGACTCCAGCTTCCTCATCCCTGAAACAATTGGTATGGTTGTTAGGAGGCGGGGCGGTATGAGGATGATATAAGCTGATGCACATAGAAGTGCTTAGTAAACTGTAAAGCACCAGGGTTGCATGGGGATCGTTAGCCAGCAGCGTGGACAAAGAAAATACCTAGTTATGAAAATAATATACATTTTAATAACTCTTCGGACCATGTCTATTAACAATTTTCTTCTGCTTTTAGGTTCCAATGAAACCTCCCACAGTTGTTCTTTGCAATTTGCATTTCAATATAAGGACTATCAGGAGGGGGAAAAAAATGACATAAAAATACTACCATTTAGGGGCGCCTGAGTTGCTCTGACAGTTAAGCATCTGCCTTTGGCTCAGGTCATGATCTCAGGATCCTGGAATAGAGAGCCCTGCTTTGGGCTCCCTGCTCAGCAGAGTCTGCTTCTCCCTCTCCCTGTGCTCGTTCTCTCTCTTAAAAAGATACTATCACTTATATACCTAGACTGTCACTCCACATTTTTTTTATGATAGACACAGTCGGAGAGAGAGAGGCAGAGACACAGGAGGAGGGAGAAGCAGGCTCCATGCCTGGAGCCCGACATGGGACTTGATCCCAGGTCTCCAGGGTCGACCTGGGCCGAAGGCAGGCGCCAAACTGCTGAGCCATCCAGGGATCCCCTCCACAAGTATTTCTAAGCTTCACAACCCAGCAAACTGAGTACTATCATTCCCATGTTATTAACGAAGATCTGAAGGTTAAGTAATTTACCCAAAGCCACACAGTTTGAAAAAGGCCAAGCTGAAATTTGACACCAGGTCTTTCCACCCCCAGTAACTCATGGAAAGACAGGCAGCCTAGACGCCTCCCGACCCTCATCTTTTTTCCTGCCTGGCTATTTCGTAACTTTCCTTGATGGAATTTTGTCTTCTCTGCTTCTCTCAGAGGCTTTATTCCCCCCATGGAGGGAGGCATTGTCTTCTATTTTCCCCTCTGATTCCTTTCCTCTTGAGATGTCAGGACATTGTTCATCCTCTCATTTTTGAAATGGATTTGTGACCTGTGATTAAGGCACAGCATTCTCCACCTGATCTCTCCTCCTTTCAGCGTTAATTATAGTCATAGAAAGTTAATAGGCCCAGAACAAGGATGGGGTGAGACCAGAGTTGTTCTTGTAAGCTCAGTTTACAAGCTGAGTGCTCAGTCCCAAACAGAAGAACACTCAATCCTCTAGTTGGACCCAATGACTAGAGTCTAGATTCATGACATCCTCTGGAGGTCATTTTCCCCCCCTGGGTCCTCTGTCCACATTACAGCTAAATCATGAGAATGCTGTTAAATAATGTGCCTACCACTGAAGCAAGAAGGTCTCAGAGCTGCATTTGCCCACATTTCTCCTTTCTCCACCTTTAACATTATCACCATCACTATTTTTCATCTTTAGCATGTCCTTCTGCAGAGGCACTCAATAATGTGCCCATTGTGCAAGTAATCTAAAATCCTTTTCGGCAAGCAATGGTATTTAGTAGTAATAAAACACTAATTTGTCTACCAAGTGACATATTTATAGGAGCTGTTTACTTTGACATATTTTTATTATTTCTACTCATTTACTAAGTACTTTCCAATACATATTTATGAAGCACATGCCTTTCCCCAAACAGTAGTGAAAAAATAAATCATATTATTTCTATTATTGGCAGCAGCATACCAAGTCCTAGGGCCCTGATTTTTGTTACTTCTGGCAAGGGCTGAAAGAATTAATGGTGCTTGAGCACCTACTATGTGCCAGACTCTCTGTGAAAGGTACTATACACAAATTACCTGTTAAATTCCCCTGAGACATGTAATTTTACCAAGAAGGAAAATATAATTCCCCTGCAACACAGATTCTACCAATGAGACAGAGACATTACCTTGTCCAAGTATAATGGACGGAAGGCATTTTGAGCCTAAATCTTTTCCTTACCCAAAACTCCAAATCATCATTCCATTTCACCAGTCCCCTCTTAACTCCTCTGGACCTAATAAGTTATGTAAAATATAAAGTATTCCTTTCTGAAAGAGGCTGTGTAGATTACCCCAGAATGGAACAGAGATAAGCAGACCTAAGATGCTAATTCCAATTTTTCTACAGGAGGTAACTCTCTAAGGGAGTTATTCCCTAAGAAATCAGGGGTAGGGTATTTTTCAAAGATAAGAACCAGTACAAGAGTTCTGCTCCTTCCTAGAGATAGGACTGGCTACACAGTTTGCAGGGCCCGGTACAAAATATGGGACCCTTGTTCAAAAAGTATTAAGAATTTCAGGATGAGGGCCCCTGGGTGGCTCGGTTGGTTAAGCATCGGTTTGGCTCAGGTAATGATCTCGAGGGGATGTCCTGAGATGGAGCGCATGTCTGCATGTCCCGCTTTGGGCTCAGCGGGGAGTCTGCTTCTCCCTTGGCCTCTGCTGGCCACTCCCCTTGCTAGTGCTCCCTGTCAAATAAATAAAATCTTAAAAAACAAAAAAAAAAAGAATCTCAATATGGCAACAGTAAAATATCAAAGTAAAATATTAAAGTCTCTGTGCAATTGCACTGATCACACTACCATGAAGCTGGCCTTACCTGGACAGAAGGAAGCTGTTGCTATTACCTCCCAAGCATCAGAAGCCCCACAATGATATGAGATTAAGACCCATTATAGGCCTGGAAAAGTATTTGGTGCTTACATATGACTATCCATCAGGCATTAGTTTCTTTTTAAAGATTTATCTATTTGAAAGAGAGAGAAATCTCTCAAAAGGGAAAGGGGAAGGGCAGGGGGAGAGGGAGAATCCTCAAGCCTTCTCCCAGATTAGTTAGTATAGAACCTGAGGAGGGTTTGATCCCACAATCATGACTGAGCTGAAATCAAGTCAGCCACTCCAGAGCACCTGGGTGGCTCAGTCAGTTAAGTGTCTACCTTCAGCTCAGGTCAGGATCCCAGGGTCCTCCCTCTCTCTCTGCCCCTTCCCTCCCCACACTTGAGGCTCTATCTTGCTCACTCACTCTCACTTGCAAATAAGTAAATATATATTTTTTTTTTAATAAAAGGCACTTGACGTACCTGGGTGGCTCAGTGGTTGGGCATCTGCCTTTGGCTTGGGTCATGATCCCAGTGGGATGGAGTCCCACATCAAGGTCCCCATGGGGAGTCTGCTTCTCCCTCTGCCTATGTCTCTGCCTCTCTCTGTATATCCCATGAATAAATAAAATCTTAAAAATTAAAATAAAAGGCACTTAACCAACTGAATCACCCAGGCACCCCATACAGCAGGCATTATTTTCCCCATTTCACAGTAGATGAAACTAAGACTTAAAGAGTCTAAGTGATTCATCCAGTGACACTCAGCAAGTAAGTGTCAGAGATAAGACTAAATTAGTTGAGATATAAAAAAAATCTTGTTCCTTGACTTTGTATCCTTTTCCCCATAGGCCCATTGTCTTCTGGCAAAACCTAGGTTTCAATTAAGGCTGTTATACCCAGAAACTACAGGGGGCTGAGAAAAGCTAGGGTTCAAAGGCTATGCAAACTAGTGCAGCACATAAAGTACAGCTGTATAGCTCCAGAACACACATACCTTCCATCAACTGGGAGAGAGAGAGTTGTGTGTATGGCCAGTGTAACAGCCAGTACTTGGCCTCCCCCTCCATGATAAACAGGAGACACAATGAGATCTCCACCTTGATAAAAGGTAACGATAGGGAACCTACAGCACCTTAATGATAAAATACTAGAAACAGCACACTAAAGTCAGGAGCAAGACCAGGGTGATGGCTATGGGTGCTTCTATTCGACTTAGTATCTGAAGTTAGGGCAGCCTGGGTGGCTCAGCGGTTTAGCTGAAGCCCAGGGCGTGATCTTGGGAGACCCCAGATCGAGTCCCGCGTTGGGCTCCCTGCATGGAGCCTGCTTATCCCTCTGCCTGTGTCTCTGCCTCTCTCTCTCTCTCTCTCTCTCTCTCTCTCTGTGTGTGTCTCATTAATAAATAAATAAAATCCTAAAAAAAAAATCTGAGGTTAGTCTAGCCAGTGCAATAAGACAAGAAAAAAATGAGAAAAACACCTTTTTGAGGAATCTTTGATGAATAATATAACCAGCTCTAATTTAAGCTCCATGCATCACAGAGCCTTCTCCAATGCCCTTCCCCAACACACCACATTGGTCAGTATTAACTCTACCCAGTACAATTCCATGCCAGAACACAGCAAAAACCTAGCAGGATCTGCACATTTCTAAATCCCTTATCTCCTCCTGGTTCACATCTCTGGGACACACAGACTATTGTTTTGACCATTTTTTTTAAAATATTTTATTTATTTATTTGAGAGGGAGGGAGGGAGGGAGGGAGGGTGGGAAAGAGCACAAGCAGGGGAAGGGGCAGGGGCAGGGGCAGAGGGAGAGGCAAACTCTCTGCTGAGCAGGGAGCCTGATTCAGGGCTCCATCCCAGGACCCTGAGGATCATGACCTGAGCCAAAGGCAGACACTTAACCAACTGAGCCACTCAGGTGCCCCGACCAGTGTTTTTTGTTTTGTTTTGTCTTGTTTTTAAGATTTTATTTATTCATAGAGACAGAGGGAGAAGGGCAGAGACACAGGCAGAGGGAGAAGCAGGCTCCATACAGGAAGCCTGACGTGGGACCCGATCCTGGGTCTCCAGGATCACACCCCAGGCTGCAGGCGGTGCTACACCGCTGCGCCACTGGGGCTGCCCGCGACCATTGTTTTTTATTCAGATTTTTTTTTTTTAAGTATTTATTTATTTATTCATGGAGGCTCCATACCAGGAGCCCAACATGGGACTCGATTCCGGGTCTCCAGGATCACACCTTGGGCTGAAGGTGGCGCTAAACAGCTGGGCCAGCTGGGATGCCCTATTTGTTTATTTATTTAAGTGATCTCTGCACCCAGTGTGGGGCTCCAACCCATGACACCAGGATTGAGAGTCATATGCCTTTCCAACTTAGCCAGCCATGTACCCCTCCAGTTCACTTTCATACCAATGAAATCTTTCTCCATGTGCATATCATTCTCTTATAAATTCCCTAGAGGAAATCAGAAAGAGCTGATAAAGTAGATCTCTGATGCAGCTTTTTATGGTGAGCTAAGCTGTGAAAAGGTCAAGATATGTAGCCTTGGCTACTATCTGGGCAAAATATTTAAAAAAAAAAAAAAAAAAAAGAATTTTAGGGCAGCCTGGGTGGCTCACAGTTTAGCACGCCTTCAGCCCAGGGCCTGATCCTGGAGACCCAGGATGGAGTCCCACATCAGGCTCCCTGCATGGAGCCTGCTTCTCCC